GGAACTTAGAACTCAAAATATTAAGATTTTATGGATCAACTCAGTTGTAATTTATGATTGGCCATCCATCAAATTGTGTCGTTTTCAGTCAAACCAACAAGTTCTGAAAGCATGTACGGCTGCAGAAGTTGAGATGCCTGAAACGCTCATGCGTGCTTTTGGGGTCCCTAAAACGTGCGGATACTGCTTCCTTTATTAATATCGTTTTCTGTTGGTGAAAGTCTACAGAAGTAACCTGTGTGACTTGTGAGGTGTGTGAAACACGAGAAATGGGTCCCCCATTCAAACAAGGAACGGAGTACTTCACGGATATCCGTCCCAATCTCCTTTCAATGAATCATCAATAAATAAAATTAAAATTAAAAGAAATTGATGAAATTAGGTGAATGATTGGGATGGATGGTTAAGGACCGATCATTAATTTATAATTTATTTAATTTAGAATTTTTTATCTAAATTTTATGGCTACCACAAACGTGATGTATCACATTGTAAGTCTGATGTCGAGGAGTTACATAACAGCCATCCCATCACACCTAACTGATTAATGAGCAACAACACCACGAAAACTATCGTATTAGAGAAAAAATATGTAAAAAAAGAAGACATATTTTTTCATGTCAATGTATTTTCTCTATCAAATTAGACAAAATAACTACAATATAATGACCTAGTATATTCGTAGTTGATGACTCAAGTGAATTATTATGGAAATAATAATTCACTAAGTCAAAAGGAGTTCTGACATATACGACTCATGACCAACTCAATATTGGACTTAGAGGATCATATACATATGGTAGGTATTACAATGAGTAGAGCTTCAAATATGAGATATTTGCTGGAGCTCCTATTTTATTGGATATCTAGTAAGCCATTAAATTATTAGATCTTATAGATAAGATCCAATGAGATATTATTGATGGAGATCTAGTATCCAATAAGACAGGATCCATCAAGGTTAAGTTAACATGGACCTCTATAAATATGAGAAAATCAAATGGGGCATAGGCTAGATTCCTTTTAGCTACCACCTCCTATACGTCTCCCTCCCTCTCCTCCTCAACTAATAGCCCCAATTTAGGGCATATAGAGAGCAAGAAGGGGTGGCCCCTTCTTGATCATATGGTACACGTGGAGAGGAAGATCATATAGTGATTTAAGGAGTGTTTTCGCTGCATCTGCCATGTGAATCACCATTAAAGATGAGGATATCTAACCTCCTTCATCCTCTTCTATAGATATATAAGTTTTCAGAGATATATGATCTCTCTAGGTAACGTATCTTTTATATACGTGTAGTTTTCGATTTTGTGAATATTTGCGCATCAATCTTCGAACGACGATGAGAAATCATTTTCTTTAGGAAATATAAGATTTTTGTTTTCTATTCTTCCACTACGCATGTGATGTTGACTTAGGTTTCTCAATAGGAGGAAGTAGAGCATCTAGATCCTGAGCACGATGATGCACTAATGGTCTCCATTAAGATAGCCAACATATAATAGTAAAGAGAATCTTAATCGACACTAAAAGCTCTATCGACATTTTATACTATGATACTTTCTAGATGATCAATTTGATTATTAAGGATTTGCAGCCTATCTCTTCCACCCTCATAGGATTCTTTAGAGATTCTATCACGTGACTAGGAACTACAAGCCTTTATGTATCTTTGGGTCTAGTGACTATTCAAAAATTATAAAAACTAAGTTCTAGACGGTAGATATCCCCTTAGCGTATAATAATATTGTTTAGTGGCCTATTTTCAATTATATAAGAGTTGTGGTGTCAACTTATCATATGATGCTCAAGTTGTATACGAGTTCTCAAATAGGAGAGTTGTGAAGCGACTCTAAAGGGTCAAGACAATGCTATCTTATATTAGTTGCTTCACCACAAAAGGCTATACTTTAAGTCCGACAGATAGATTTGTGAGAATCAACATTGTCTAACCTACACCGTAAGGTGGGAGAGCCTTTGGAGGAAGTCTCTCTTGATCACAAATTAACCAAAGCACAAAGATAGGGTCAGGAATACCTTTTTGATGAGGAGTTGATCAAATTCCTCTATATAAATTCGGAGGTTTTTAATTGGTCTCTAAGCGACATGCCCAGAATTAATTGAAGCATAACTCAACACTAACTCAACATTGATCTAGAGCATTGGGTGGTTCGATGGAAGACTTGAAGATTCATGCTAGATTAACAAGATACAATCGAAGATGAAGTTAACAAATTATTATATGTTGATTTTATCTATGAGGTTCACTATCCTAAGTGGCTCGCAAAGTGAAGAATGTGTATTGATTATATAGATATAGTGGCTAACAAATGTAGTCTTTGTTAAAGAAGAATAATAGAAAGTGAAGAATGTGTATTGATTATATAGATCTTAATAAAACATATCCGAAAGATAGCTTTCTACTCCCTCGAATCGATCAGCTCATTGATTCAACTTCTAGACACGAGTTGTTAATATTTTGGATACTTTTACTAGATATAATTATATAAAGATGATACAAGGTGATGAAGAGCATATCACTTTTATCACTGAGAAAAGCTTGTATTGCTATAAGGTTATGCTCTTTGACCTCAAAAAATATCAAAGGAACGTATTAATGGATGGTCAATAAGATGTTTCAACATTAGATAAAATGTAATATTGAAATATATGTGGATAGAAAATTTTCAATAAAGTGAGTAGTGTCAAACAACATTCGACCAATTTAAAAGTTATTAGGTGGCACCCCATCAACTAGATATAAAAATTTTTAGAAGCTTGCCTATGGGTTACTGCTTGGTTGCAACCAGGAAACTTCGCCCATCTTTTCAAGTTCATCATATTATTGTCATAACGAACCAACCAATGCCTTACATCCTCTCCCAACCTAACGCGTCCAAGAAACTCCTCAAATTACAAGTGCTTAAAAATACATAGTCCTCACCAGCCTATTAAAATATAGTTACTATTTCTTAGAGTTTCAATAACTTTTATCATTATACTCACTATATACTTCTCATGAGAGCTTCTTCTCTCTGTTAATCGTGTGTAAACAATTAACTAAGAGATGTCACATGTAACTGACTAATCTAAATAGCCCTAATTTATACCTACAAATTTGAGAACTGGTTACAAGGG